GGACAACCCTTAATGTTCACATATCGACCAGGATCATTACCACTCTATTAACTGCCTATGACCTACACCAGTGGACATATTGAGAAGATTGCCATTGTGTGACCCCACAGCACAGACGACTCTGCTGTGACGCCAGGATTGAGCGGCGTGGACGAAGGAATGGCACAGGGTAGTGTTATTATACGAATAAAAATCACTCTTCAATTTGCCCATTGATAGTCGCTGAGGAGTGTGGCACCGATGTGATGACGAGTCAATCTGGTCACATCTGTTGAATGCCACACAGTGCAACATTATGGTTTGGGGCGCCATCACATACGACAGCTGGTTACCTCTAGTTCGTATTCAAGGCACTATGATGACCTTACGATAATGACTGATGTGCTGTGGTCGGAAACACTCCCCTTCCTTCCTTCGGTGTACACAATGCTTTGAACCAGCAGGATAAAACGCGATCGCACACTGCATATAGCGTGCTCTGCAAGCCGTACAGATGCTTTCCGGACAACCATTCTCTCCAATCGAACATGCCTAGAATGCAACTGGACGTCGCTTGCATGCCCAGCCACTATGGCGCACAAAAGACGAATTGTGGTAAATAATTGGCCGGAAAAGAAAAGTAACACCTTAGGACGTAAACCGTACTCTCGTTGACAAGATACTTAGATTTGTTACTTCGAGTATCGTCCGTGGTGGAGTCCTACAATTTATTGAACTGACTTCACACTAGTATTTAAACAAAGGAATATCTTCCTTAATAAATATAAAGATATGCATTAATTAAGATATCTTTTACACATATGAAAAATACATATGTTAATTAATATTTATAGAATTTTCCTAAGGCAAAACACGAACACTAAATGTATCTCTTTCATACATTATAACTGTTATTCAAAGGTTCTAATAGTTTTAGAATGCCACATGAAAAAGAAGGAAAGAAACGAAAAGAAAATGGCATATAGGCGATGAACTGAAAATGCAACAACTGTTCGTCATTCAGTGAATGAAAGCAAGAGTACTAAGGCCTCTATTGTTTTCGCACTGTGTCAATACTGCCGTCCTTTGATTAGACTATATTCTAAGAAAATATTATCAAATTTCTTAGAATTTATTTACATGAAATTTAGAATAACGACTTGTTAATGTATTTACATTATCAACTGTTTGATATACTGTAAAATGTTTTTGAAAAAAAACAATTCTTAGTTTAACACGTGCCAACAATTTTGTTTAACACTTTGTGACGTTAAGTAGTACTTATCGCGCGTGTTGAAAAGATAACGATAATTACACAAAATCCATGACAGTAACAAAAAAGTTTGAGATCACGTTCCAAGAACGGATACAGACAAGTGGTTATATAAAATATAAAAATTCTTTCAAACATAATGTATTGTATAAAAAAAAGGAAGAGAACAAATTTTACTTGCTTAAAAACAAAATAATTAGTTAACACTAAAAATTTTTTTTAAAAAGTACTAAAGCACTCAAGCGAGAAATAAGGAAATTGTTTTTCGTATCACTAAGAAAAATTTTTTCACGAAAGACATGTTTATAAGGTAAATATTATTGAAAAGAGCCAAACAGTAATTCTTGTTTAGTTACCGAAAGAAATAAAATTTATTATGTACGCAAAAAATAATTTTTTACAGGATATTATTTTTAACTGGTATACTTAAGCGCCGTCTAAATAAACATATTTAAGTTTATCATAAAACAAAAGAATGATGGTTTAGCAATAAATGAAACATGCAAGACACATGCGAAAGACAGAAACAGGCTCTACATGAAAGACACACATACAGCATTGACTACCTATTTAATATGAAGTAAGTCCACCATTCGCCCTCAAATCCGTCAAAACCTGGCGATTCATTGACTTGATAGGTAGTTTGAGGTACTTTATAACAGGCACTCACCAACTGGACCAGCAATACGCGTACATTACGAGGTGATAGCATCACTACACGAATTCCGTTCTCCAGGTGGAACCAAATGTGTCCGATTGAATTCATGACAGGTGAATTCAAAGGAGAAGATATGACTTGAAATTCACCAGAACGTTCCTTGAACTACTCCAAAGCGATCATGCTCTAATGAGATTGTACTTAATCGTATTAGTGTACGCCATCATTCACTGAGAACTTTGATCGCTTAAATGGGTGCATCTGGCTAGCGATGATGTTCGCATAACGTACAGACGTCAGAGATTGTTCAATAAGGATGATGTCCAAATGTACTATTTGAAAACATCTTCCACACTATGATATCGCCACCACCGCTTTGTATAAAGTTGACCGTGCAGCCGGCCATGGGTAGTCTAGTGGTTAGAGCATTGGACTCCAGACCGGAGGGCCTGGGTTCGAGATGCCCGATCCCACCAAATATCCTCCAAGTACGTGCTCGTTAAATCAGTGGGTCCGTAAGTCCTGTGGGCGGTTGCAGCTGAAACTACGGGTGATAGATGCTGGAAAATATTTCCTTCCCCTCTAGCTCAGTCCTAAATTGTGGAGGTGGCGATAAATTGTGTCGTAATCTATCATGCAGAAGTCCAACCTGTCTCAGGCTCTGGCAACTAGCCTTCCGGAAGAACACGACAACAACAACTGTACAGCCGAGTGTCAGGGTTTCTGTAGGAAATAAGCGTATTCGCACTGCCTGTCAATGTGATTCGTAAGACCAAGCAACTTTATTCCATTCTTTTATGTCCTAATGCTGATGCTCCATGGCCACTTGCTGGCGATGACGTACTATTAAAGCTGGTGTCAGACTAAACGCAGCAGTTTTCAATATACTGTGCGTTGAAACACATCGCGTGGATCACCATAGTAGTAGCTGCTGATCGTTGTGGCCCATCGGTTATGAGAAAAAATGTGCAACAATATCTGCAACCCCTGAAATCAATGCGCCATGGCGAAGAAAACGCTGACCGGCGACTTGTCATTTCACCATTCATAAACCATAACGACTTTCCCACTTCACCCACATACCACTTTTCACAACGGCTACACGTGAACAGCCCCCAAAAAGCGTCTTTTCTGAAATCGATGTTCACAAGTGCCGAGCCCTAACGATTCTACCTGTACCGAAATCTGAGAAATTAGCTTTTTTTTTAACGCATGTTGCACTAAACATTCTACATTTGGAAAGACAGTGAATGGGCGCTTATATACAACACTAACAGCCACCCGTGCTTCTTAGTTTTGTCTCCGGGCGAACTCATTGCCCTAGGTGAGAAGTAATATTAATATAATGGCTCTAAGGTGTTTATATGTATCACTTCTTTTCTTGGCATAATTCTAAACAAAAGGATCAATAATCAAACTTAAACTACCTTCCAGCTAATATGACCATTCAACCGCTGCAACTCTTGCAATCCGAAACAGTGACGTAACGTACACCCCCGCATCGCGAGAGGAGGGGGGGGGCAGGATTCTAGGGGGCCCAGAGCCTGACTGCCGTCAAGTGCCTACCCTTTGTAAAATCCAACTTGGGGGCCGAAAACCTGACTTTGCAGGGAAGGCCCAAATGTTCTCCGTTACGCCACTGATCCGGAACTATAGCCCCTTTATAATATATCAAATGAACTTGATCTCTTCGCTGTGATTATACATTACATGCTTAAAATATAATTCAAAAATAAAGAAATAAGAAAAAGATCACTACAAATTAAAAAGAAGTAATTTCCATTCCTTTCCATTCTCTATTTGTGCAATGACTTTATTTGTAACAGCTTAAATATGACTTTTATAAGAAAAATATCACAAAAATCCCCACAGAACAAAAATAAAACATGCAGATTTTTTAAAAAATGCAATTATCAATGGTTGAAAATTGTATATATTTTAAATTAGGTTTATATTTATAATTTGAGGAAGATAAAGAAATTAACACAAATCAAATTTAAGAACGATTCCTACTGATTGAAAGACACCCCAATTAAAGTCATCAGTTATAAAATTCAGCTTGAGTATATTTATTTTAATTTGACAGATAATTTAAAAGAAAATACTAACAAAATATCCGTATGAAAACGTTTGAAAACCTGATTCTAAGCGATCTAATCTAAAGAAATGGCTCAAATCTCTAATTCTACGAGTTAAAAAAAATGGGTTATTTGACACCATCATCTTTGAGAGCCTTAGAGTACTGAAATTTTACTGGCAAGAATCTTTCATCCGATGAACAGTCGAAGTGATTTCAGTTTTATATCCGCGAACTTATTTCCAATGACAGTGACAGGAAATGTCAAATAGCTGACCTTAGACCGGGCTATGTGCACGTACACCAATTCTACTTTGCGTGCTACATCACAATCGAAACACTAAAGATACCCAAGAACAGATTGCTCAGAGGTAAGCGTAGAAAATTCTGAGTAAGAGCCTATTTATTTTCTTTGGGTCAAAAAAGCCATGGTCTGAGTATGTGCGTGTGACAGCTTCGCTAACGATGGGGGCAAGTTTTGCTAATTCTTTAAAGCTTTCTTCGCAAAATGTTGTAAAGCAGGAGTGAAACTCAGAAAACAATTTCAGGCAGAGAAAAAAAAAAGAGCCGTAATATTAAAACCAATTCAAATGTACAAGTTTGGTACCATGATTAGGTTTTAGGTATACTATTCATCATATTGTGTGCTTAAAATTTTCAAACATTTTATAAATATGCCACTTTTTTGCTAGAATAATAAAAGTTGAACAAATAACAATTTAGCATTACAATAAGCAAGTAATATAAAAAAAAATTTAAGTCAATTCCAACTTAGGTCAATAAAGAAAATTTTTACTTTAGTTACTTTATATTAAATAGTTACAAGTAATATAAATATGTATATACATATGACAGAATCACAATATTAAGTGACAAAATAGAACGCGATTTTCCTTTCTGTATAGGATGTTGGACTACTTTTTTTGTTTAATTATTTTTATTCATAAATTAAATTTAATTTTCTAATAAAATAGTTTAGTAAAAAAGAAACCACAGTCTCAGAGAAATTAAGCCATCCCAGGTGGAATTCGAACTCACGAACCTTTGGATTAGAAATCCAAAGAGCTATCCATTGCGCAACAAGGACACAACGAACGAGTTTCATTTCTATATATGCTGTTGGACTAATATTTTAATATTTCTTACTATTTATTTACTTTTTAATTTAATTAAGGAATTAATAATTGAAAAAACTGTATTAACATCATGTGTCATCCACTAAGAGTTTAAAGAAATGTATTTGTGAACTTGAATGGATGAATAGAAAGTATTTTATTAACGATTAAAAACTTGAACAAGACATATATATATATATATATATATACGCACACACACACACAGCTAAAGACTTTATTGAAGTAAAGAAAAAAAAATATAAACTGTGCCAAAGAACTTATATTATTATTTTCTTTTTTGATAAATAGATTCAGATTTCAAAATTGATTAAGAACACTAGTTTCGTTTTCACAAAAAGAGCTAGGAAACTGTTTTATGATATGTTAAGGAAACAAAAAGGCTCTGCTTAGAGCTGGCTTAGGCTTATATACTCTGCTAGAAAAAACGATTCTTAATAGGACTAAGTAATTAAACATGGTTTTCTTGCGTCTGAAGAACATACATTTTACATCAGTTTAACTACAGTAAATTACAAAATGAACTTATAGACTTAATTATTTATACCTAGTATATATACTGGTGTCCAAAAGTTAGACATAAATCGTAAAATGTGAAAAACATGGAGTAAATATTCATAAAATTATTCCAAATTTCTTACGGATATTAATTGGGTAAAGAAGAAACATTGGGTTTATGCAAAACTTTTCAGTCGACTACGTCCTGCGCGAAACACCGGCGCATGTCGGAACGCGGAGAAACCGATTCACGCAGCATAGGCAGTTCAGACAAGTTTCGTGCAACTGCTGTGCGAAGGAACGTTGTTAACCATCAAACAAGGTGAATGATGGCGCAAAGACGCCAACTGGACATGTTTACGAAAGGAAGAATCGTTGGAATGCTGGAATCCTCACGATCACAAACCGAAGTGTCTCGAATTCTGAATGTGGACCAGTCTGTGATCTCAAGACTGTGGCAGAGGTTTCAAAGAACGGGAGATGTTACCCGACAACCAGTACCAGGTCGACCAAGAGTCCCAACCCCTCGCCAAGACCGATATCTGGTAATAAGTGCGCGACGTCAGAGGGGCAGTACTGCCAGAGAACTGGGTTCGGCGCTCACAGTTGCCACAGGAATACGAATTTCGAGACAAACTGTTTACAGGAGAATCAATCATGCTGGCCTGTATGCCAGAAGACCAACAGTTTGCATTCCCCTAACGTCTGCGCATAAACGCGCTCGTTTGAACTGGAATTTGAAACATCAACATTGGAGAGTGGGCCAATGTGATGTTCAGTGACGAGTCCCGGTTTAGTCTGAGTAGTGATTCTCGGCGGGTAACGATATGGAGAGAACGTGGAACACGTTTTGAACCAAGAAACATAACGGAAAGACATCATTTTCCATCAAGGGGAGTAATGATAGGGGCAGGCATCATGATGGACGGCCGCACAGACCTCCATTTCTTTGACACGGGGACTGTGACTGTTCAAAGATACAGAGACGAAGTTTATGAGCCTTATGTTCGCTTGTTTCGAGGTGCTGTCGGTCCTGGCTTCATATTCCTGGATGATAATGCGCCATGTCACCGAGCGGTGCTGATTGATGACTTCCTTGAAACGGAAAACATCCAGCACATGTCGTGGCCTGTGAACTCCCCTGATTTAAATCCTATCGAGCATGTATGGGATATGCTCTTGAGACAAATTGCAGCCCTTTCGCACCCACCAAGCTCCGTTACAGAATTGGAGAGCTCTCCAAGAAGCTTGGAACCGTCTGAGCCTACAACTCAATCATTATGTTATAGCAAGTATGGTAAATCGCTGTGCAACGTGCCTGGCTGTCAGAGGTGACCCCACGCCTTATTAAACTGCAACATCAGTATTTTCTTTTATGTTTTCTTTCAAACTGCTACTTTAAATAATAAAATTAATTATTATCATTCTTTTGATTTGCTTCCTTATTTTATAACCATTTTACACTCGCATATCACGTTTCCCGCCATTCTGATTTACAGTTCCTTCTTTATTCACATAATTAACAAGTATGCTTAACTTTTGGACAACAGTGCACATACATTCATGTTTCTAAATTTTACAAGGGGAAGAAGAAAGAAAGAATAGCTTAAACTCTTATTTAAAAGAAAAAAGTTACAAACGAATGCAGAAAGAAGAAAAAATTAAAAGTAAGAATAAAAGACAAATGGCTGCCACAGTTCTATGTCACAAATAACGTTTTGAAGACAAATGTCCTTGAGATTAAGCGAAAAACATTGTAAGTCTTAATTCCAGCTAAATGGAAACAACAGCTGATGATACATTTTAAGTGCAATATTTTTAGCACAAAAAATTAACCATAATTAACTTATTTAAAAATTGAAACATCTTGGCTACATTCCAGTGTAATCAACAAAAGAATTTCTCGAGCTCGAGTAACAGAAGAAATGTTAATAATAATAATTAAAAAATTTCTTAAAGATAAATTGGAAGACAAATAGAGTAATATTTCATTCGAAATGGAGAATGAAAAACACATGAATATTTATTTGTATATAATTTTTATTCACGATTATAAACAGAGGTTATATAATATGAATGCTTTTTCGAAACATGTACTTTGTAATGTGAAATGTAACTTATGGAATAAAAAAATCTTATTTGATAAAAAAGTAAAATATATTTAAGGTATTATACATAATTGTTTTTTTTTGTTTGAAATCGCTTTTATTTGACTAACTTAAAAACAGCTAAGGTATGATGGAACGTATATTAAGAAAGCATCTTGTGCGTAATTCGGAACAGCGATTTAGAAACATAATTATAGATTTCAAGGCCAAAGTACAACATATATTTTAAACAGTATATAGTTCGTCACTATTTTGTTTTATAAATAAGTAACGGGTCTATCCACATGCCTCCCAATAATCCTCTTGGGGAAAATCTTTCTTTAAATATTATTCAATTGAAAACTTTCTCCCGAAGAAGAAGATGCGGTCTATTTACATTATATCGTGTATTTAAGCATTAACTTTCGGGTTTAAGGGAGAGAGAGGTTAGAAGCTAAATGATAACAGCGAGGTAAGGTAATAGAAAGCTAGACGAAAGTGTTCAGTAGATTATCTGCTTAATATTTAAGACTCACGATTTTTTAATTAGATAATTAAATCGATTAGCGTTGGCTTGAAGTAGCTTAACGTAGAACGTATCTTCGATTATTGGAATGTGTATGGATAAGACATTCCTAAAGTAAGTTATTAAATTTATAACTAAATTTACTTATATCGTCTTCCTAGCTCTTGTTCCCATAATTAGTTTAAGGTGCATTTCCTAATCTTGGGTTGTTCAAGTTTGTTAGGTTGCTGAAACTTGTTAATAAAATGTGTTTGTTTTGACCTATGGCTAATCTTCCTTCTAATTCTCGTACACTGATGGTTGGGATAGTCCAACCATTACAACTTATGTTCAGTACAATTGACCGAGACAGACAAGGTCTAGGTCGCGAAGTCATGGCCAGCGAGTCGCGAGTTCGAGAGCCACTAAAGATCTGCGTGTAGAGGAGCTTATGTACGTTGAATCCGTCTAGGCTCAAAATCATCCCGATTGACATGACGAGGAAGTTCGAAAATACACACACACTGTCCATGGGTCATCCTCGCCACTTGAGAGAGGTTAAAAATTACGTGGCCCATTACCAACAGCCCTCGTGTTGCTTTGAAGAGTAGCATTAATAAACAATCAAACAATATGTGCACTATTAATACTTAGAATGCGAAATGCTTTTCCAGAATAATAAGTTCAAATAATTATTAAAGCATAATTATTTACTACTCACTTCACATACAAACCATGAATGAACAAAATAAGGCACGTATTTTTTTTAATTACTGTTGTTTACCTTAAAACGTGCATAGCAATATATTCATGATTTAAATAATATTACCCCCCCCCCCCCAAAACCAGGATGAACAAAATATTGAAGCAGAAAACTTATTTCAGCCTAATTTATAATAGCCAATGTTTCAGTAATATATGAGCCGTTTTCTTTGAAAGTGGTTTAACTCCATTTTATATTATAATGGAGATATTTATCACTTTCAAAGTAATTATTTTTGTAATAACATTAACTACGTAAATTTATATTGACAAAATGATAATAATTTTGAAGGGTTTTTTGAGGAACTGTTCATAGATTAAAAAGCTAACAGCAGATTGCCTTCAATGTTATAATTTTACTTTATATGTATAATACATCAATGTATAATATTACTTTTTGTCAAAAATGGACTTAAAACACTTTCAAAGAAAACAGCAACCGATATTTCAACAATGAATGAACATGAAAAGAATGACAGGTTTTAAAAAATAAACATATACGTATTACTCGAATAAAGTCAAAATTACTATTATTTCAAAGTGATTTGAAAAAGCTATATTTGAAAATAATATTTTTAAATATATTTGCTAAATAACTATATGTTACTGAGTAGGGTATGCAAGCATATTTAGATTAAATCTAAAAATATTCTTCATCAATTAAGTGACATAACATTAAAAAATCTTTTTTGCTAGAAGGTTAGTTTATAGTCGACTTCTATTTTCACCATTATTACAGCCTTGACAGATGATTTGGGTGCCAAAAATCTCAAAACCATGGGAAAGATGATAACGAAAAATTATGAAATATTTTACTTCAGAAATGGTCAAATATTTACTTTTTCATATCTTTGAAAGATATATTATCAAGGTTTTTCACCAGCACATTAAAAGAAAATTAACTTACTTCTTTTATTTAACGATGTAATTACAGAAATGAACTAAAAATTGTAAACTTTTGCAAGGTTATCGGGCATCAATGTCACTTCCATCAACACAAGACTAACTACATGTCAAATTCGAAATTGATCATTATCTATCCTGCTTTTCTGATGAATCTTATTTTAACTTAAAATAGCATTAAGACGTTATGTAGAATTCC